CCCCCCCCCTCAATCCAAAGGAATACCATCGTACTCGCCGTATCCGAGAGCCAAGTTCATGTTCTGAAGACATTGTGTAGCAGCTCCCTTAAGTAAATTGTCGATAGTTGCGCAGACAACTACTCTCTCTCCGGAGGAGTGGACGCCGAAGCCACCGACCTCCTGTTTGATTGTCAACAAAGTCACCCCTTAGTAGAAATAGGAAGACATATATAAACCTACCACGCCATGCTTGCCGGAAATGTTCTTGACAAGAGGAGCCTCTCCAGTAACTTTGATGAGCTTCTCCCCGGCGTACCTGTCCTGGTACAAATTCCTAATCTCTCGTGAAGTCATCCCCTTGGCCAGCGGAATGCTAACAGTGTGGTGGATTCCCTGGAACCAAACTGCGACATGAGGAATGAAGGCAACTGGAACACCGAGTTGAGTTCCAATTTCACGCTCGTGGATATGGTCAGTCAAGCTATAAGGCATCAAGTTGTCCTTCAACTGATTGACGTCATTTTTAGGACTTGGCCTTGTTCCAGCCCCAGAATAACCAGATACACCAAATATGGTAGGAGAACCGGCGAGGTAGGGCGCTAAAGGTGCGATAGCAATCTGGGCTGCGGTGGCATAACATCCAGGGTTGGAGATACGAGAAGCTTTGGTCAAGGTCTCCCTGGGCACAAGCTCTAAATTCCCAATTTATCAGCGCAATCGCCCAGTCCCATCGCCATAAGGACATACATACCAGGCAATCCATAAGTCCATTTGCGATCGAACCTGAAATCGGCACTCAAGTCGACAATCACGCTCTTGGCCTTCCCAACATCTTCAACTGCATCTACAAATGGTCCGCAAACACCATTGGGAAGAGCCATAACCCAACAGTCAACTTCGTCATTCTCCTCCATCCTTCTAATATCCTCAACACCCAGGTTCTGGTAGACTATTTCCTTCCCGTCCTTGGTATATCCCTCAAGCTTCTTTCCAGCCAGCTCTCGAGATGAAACATGGGTAAGATCGAAATGGGGGTGAGAATTGATGAGACTTATCAAAGCTTGTCCAGTGTAACCTCTAGCACCAATTAACGCTACCTTGGAAGGCTTGCCGTTGGTTGCGTTGCTCGAGCCCAAGGGAGGGTTCGGGTTTGTAGAGGCAAATCCCCGTCGCGGTTGGCGAAGAACGGATCCCATTGAAGCAGCCCATCGGGATCCTGGCCTTGTAGCTGTCAAGAAACCCCTAGCCTGTTGTTTGATACCGGTAACGGCTCCCTCAGACCTTCCGGACTCACGGCTACCAGCATCGGCCAAGAAGCCCCCGATCAAAGATTTGACTTCTTCGGGTCCCTCATACCCGTACCAGAAGTGAACTTGGTCCCCGTGGTTGAAGCTTCCCTGAGACTTGTCGAAATGCCAGCTCAATTGTCCATCGCCCTGCCTGACAGACCAAATCAACCTGGGGTATTCCTTCTTGATCGAGTTGAAGACGTTATCGGCCACGTTGCCCAGCCACCCAGCTTTAGTCGACGAGAAGAAGTCCAGCCTGGCAGGATCGTTGGGGCCTTCACCCGGAATCACAATTGCCAGAACCTCAAGAGGCTCATCGGCGTATGCCTTGAATTTTGTTGACCGCAAAAAGTTCAGGTATTCCGAAACGTCGCTCTTCTCCCTGCCTAGGACCTCCTCCAACCGTGTTCTATCTTCGAACCCATCAACGCTAGACATAGCGGTAAGCTTGTTACCTCTCCTTATGAGAGTCCCAGCACCAGTATCGGTGAAGAGCTCCTTCTGGAGATCTTCGGTAGCGATGATAGCAACACTGGAGGTCCTAGGCAATCCATCCAACAACTCCTTAATCTCCTTGATCTTCAGCCTCGTCCCATACCGGCACCACCACTGCTCCATCAAGCCAGCGTACTCCTCGTCCAAATTGATGGTGGAAATCTTCTCATTAGTCTCGCCATTGAATAGACCACCCTTCTCGGACAAGTACACAATCTTCAAGGGCTGGAGGGCCCGTGCGAGCTCACCAGCCGCAATATCCGCATTGACGTTCAACAGCTGCCCCTCGGCTGTTTCTGCTGTTGACGTCAAAATCGGAAGACACCCCGCCTTGATAGCAGCCTCAATGGGACGCTTGTCAACGCTTGTAATCTTTCCCACGAGGTCGTACTTCTGGCGGTCCAGGTAGTCGGCTTGGAAAACACCGCCGGTGATGGGCCTAGCCCGAACCCCGAGCTTCTCCAAGGCCTCGACAAGCTTCAAGTTCTCGTCGAGGAACAGCTGTCTTGCCAGGGCAAGGGTCTTTCCATCCGTAACCCTGATCCCGTCCTCAAATTGGGGTTCCACACCCGCCGCCTCCAGCATCTTGTTAAGCTGTGGACCCGCACCGTGAACGACGACGGGGAATAACCCGACATGGTTGAGGAAGGACAGTGAGTTTGACAGCGAATCCAAGTGCTCCGTAATGATTGCCCCACCCACCTTAATGACGGCAAATTGCTGGGATTGAACGGACGTGAAGTGTGACAAGTATTGCTCCACTTCCCTCTTGGACCCAATGTTGTTGAGCAGCTGGATAACGGTGGACCGGGTGGACAATGGCGACGGCGAGAGACCGGTGGTAGCGTACGACGAAGCAGTTGCGCGGAGTGGGGAGGACGAAGAGGTTGAGGGAATTGCAGCAGCCGGGCGAACCACACGCAAGTTCCTAGAAGTGGGTAGGCGAACAGCCCGTCTGGATGAGTTGCGGAGACCGGATAACATGATCGTTGGAAGCAATCGATGAGAGGGGAGAGGGGAGAGTGGCAGGAACACGGGAAAGGAAAAGGAAAAGGATTGTCAACGAAAAAAAGGGAAGGAGGAAGAAGGGAAGGGGAAAGGGGAAAGGGGAGGAGGATAGATATTGCGGCACAAGGTACCGTGAAAGAAAAAAAGGAATGTTTCCAGACGTTCTCACCAGCAAACCGATGGATAGGTTTGTAGTTCGAAACGGGAGCACTTACACGGCCGGGCAAGGCGGTTGGATCGAGGTTCTATTAGCTCCTAGCAGGTGCAAATGCCCCGGAGAAACAACTCCAGAGTGATAAAGACGATGGAAAGATTATTACCGGCACTCGCACCAAGAGTGGGTGAGAGGGAAGAGGTGGGCAGGCAGAGAGGGAGGTTCAGAGGAAAATAGGAATTGAGCAATTCGACAGAGCATCACCGAAGAGATGCAAGGATTTATTCCCCCCCCTCTCTCCCAGGCAGTCAGAGGGTCGCTCATTCACTCATCCTGAGCAAAATCTCTTCATGCAGCCATCCTCACTCCCACCTGCATCTGATTTCCCCCTCCATCCGTATGTCTTGGCAATTCGCCATCGGCACCCCGCGCAAGTTGCTGCAAGCACGAGAAAAAATTTATCCCATTGTGGGGCTAAACGTGTGGGCAGAGTCAGGCAAAGTGACGATAGTCGCAGGCCAGCAGCTGTCCCCAGCCCAGGATTTGACTCTCATGTATGATACGTCTATCTATTCTCCATCAAGTACTAGTACGGCACTCTACGAGTACTGTCCCATGTTCACTATCTGGATCATCTGATAACTGCTACCTCACCACATCCTATCATACGGCAACCCAACGGAAAAGGTGGGAAAGGAAGGAAACACCAACCAAGGCGTTCAGGATGCCCTAACTTACCGTACGTATACCAGCCGCCACCAGACCACACCTCCTCGCACCGCCCGCCGACAGTGTGGCAACCCTCCAAAGGGGGGGGATATTATACAAAAAGGGAGCAAGTACGAGTATGACGCCCAAGGCCTCAACCGGGGCATTGCTATGATACCAGTATCATACAGCCCTTTAGCGAACGAAAAGAGCCCGGATCCCCTGACAGGGTCGCTGCGCCACGAGTATGCCCAGAGCCCAACGTTAGGTTTTCATTCCCGGTTGCCGGGAGAGGACCCCCACCGTCCACCATACGGGTACCGGTACCAAAACACAGCAACTCTGGAGAGGTGGGCGGAATGCGGTAACGGTAGGTAAGAAGCGGAGCCTGCATGCAGAACACTAGGATGAGCAAAAATGCCACCATGAACAAATTGCCTCCGGGCAAACGCCGCAGCTCGAGGTCTCGAGCGGGGACCTTGCTGGTGGGCCAAACTGAAATTCACGGCCAGTGTTCCTCCGGCGGTTAGTCTACGCCATGAATAGCTATCACTCTATAGTATCACATCACAGTACTCGTACAGTCTTCGCTGAAATGCCCTACCGAATTGCTCCTTCCACGGCATCTGGTACCCTACGATACGAACCGCCATCACCTCGCTGCGAACAGGTGTGACAATGGAGTGGCCGTAGGATCTGATGATGATACATACCCCACCCTCACCCTCACCGAAAAATGCAAGTGCTCGTGTGAAGGATACGGTAGAGTAGGCGATGATATAATATTATGATTCTTCGTGGACGATTGGAAATGTAAAGGAAGAAAAAAGAACGGAGGAAAAAAAATACAAACAAAATTATCATAGCAGATTAATAACCTTCCATAAAGCATTTAATGCGTACTCGAGTAGTCTACTCACCATCCGCCTCCCTTAAGTTAGCCCCTGCTCCCCCACCCGCTCACTTAGCCCCCAACTCGGCCAAAACAAACAGAAGCTACCGGATGACGCAAGAAGGAAGAGAGCGGTCAAATTGGCTGCCCCAGGTTCCCGATATTGGCTGGTTGAGAGGAAAGCGAGGGGAGAAGAGAAAAGAAGAGAGGGTGGCTTGGAGTTACATAGTGAACAAACGTTTCAATCAAAACTAACTGCACAAAGGGAATTCCAGCAGATACACAGTAAAGAGAAAGGAAAAGCAAAGAAAAAGGAGGAAAGAAAACAGGAATTTCGCCGCCCCCACAACCAAGCATCCCATTGACCTAATTCCAAAACCCAAAAGTCATATTGAAAATCGGCCCATTTTCTGCTTGCCTATTTCTGTTTTGTTTCATTTGAATGTCTCTCGTCGTGATTCCCATGTCCATTCATTGTCGGATTGTCGTTAGACATGAAACTCGATTCCCACCATCCCAAACCAGGACCTCTTGACCACCGCAAAGCCAAACTGCCCTCTCCACCATGTCTATGAAAACCGCTCCCGCGCCGGAAAAAAACCAAACAGCCCCCCCCACACAACTCGATTATTTGGTTTGGCTATACCCGGTAAACCGTCAGAAAACCCTTCACGTATATATCCACAGCCAGGCGTTGGGGGAAATTGAACGAACCTGATAACGACTGGGACGATGACAATCACCAAAAGAATGATGATGCCAACGACTATGCACATGCGCATCTTCATATCCTTCCACCACATTTGCTTTCGGACCCTGTTGGCCCCGCGGCGGAAACCCAAAGCAGACACCGCAAGATTGTCTAAGGATGAATATATTATGTCAGCATTCCCTCTCAGGGCTGAAATCCCTCCCCAGGAAGAAGGAAAAAAAAGTGAAATGGTTACTAACCGGTCTTATCTTGAAGACTGTCCAACCTAGCGCCACGGTCAGCGACCTTATTGATGTTCTCCCGCATGATTCCGACGGTATCATCGATTTGCTAAAAACAAACTTGTCAACTTCATGCCTCAGGGAAAACACACAATTTAGATGGGCTCATAGCGAGGAAGCTTCGTATGAAAGAAATCGAAAAGGAAAGGCAAAAAAGGCTACGGAACATTGCGCGCGAGATAAATCGAGAGAGACAGCGATGCTGCGGAGGGGGGGACGAGGGCTGAAGTGACCTCACATCAGGCTTCCGTCGCTCCGCCGCGCTGAATGTCCAACTCCCCTCTTACGAGAAAGGTAGAGAGAGAGCAATGGGGTTCATGAAGATAGAAAATCAAAGATGGCAATTCAAGATCGCGCAACTCCGTTGTCGAGAGCGACTTCTCCTTCCCCCCTGACATACGCGGCCCCAAAGTAACCGCTCCACAGAACCCAACAAAGAGCCGGGACCACTCGGTTCATCCCGCACTCGAAAGAACTAGACAGGGAAAGGGAAAGGGGAGACCAACCGCTTGAATAGCCGCAGTCCTCTGGTTTCCGGAACCTCCAGTCTGCCCTTGACTGCCACCAGCACCACCGCTGGGAATGTAAGGATCGTACGGCTGATCAGACATTATGGGTTCTGTGGGAAACGAGCTTGGTTAGGGTGAAAGGGATCCGTTAAAGGCGAGCGACGTGAAAAAAAAGAGAAGAAGAAGAAACGGGTTCGTGAACGAGGAGGTTTGTTTGTTTGTTAGTTGTAGTTGTAGTTGTTAGGTGTAGTTTGGATGGAGGGTAAGTTGGTGGAGATGGATGTGTGGATGAATGGATGGGGAGGGTTGGTGCTGACGATGAGAGGATGGTAGACCGTAGACTTGCTCGGTCGCAAACAGGGGTGGGAGATTGGGCGAGGGGGGCAACCGGAGCTGCGGTACGGTACGGTATGTTTGAGAAATGTATCCAATGCAACGAACGAACGAAAAGTTTCTCTGTGGATGGTGACAGAAGCGGTATGATCAGATCAATATGTACAAAGGGAATAAAGGGATACCCGTATTCTCATAGAATTAAGGGGCGATGAAAAGTACCATCGTGTGGAAAGCTACAAAGAAAACGGTTATTATTTTCATGTTATGGTGGGCTCTTGGAGGGTTCCATCGGGGTGTGGCTATTTTTGGTGCGCGTCCCGGGCTGGAAGGCGCAGCGGGGCAGCCACGAGCGTGGCGCACCCAGTTTCTTGGTGGTTCCCGTACGAGTTGCGATGGGCAACCCACCCGAGCACTCGTACAGTACTGGCACTACCGTACTGTGGCAGCTATAATACTTGTAGTACCGTACTCGAGTGCCGTGAAGTGCAGTATTGTTACTGTGCAATGCTAGTGCGGTATCGTGTCAGGTTGAAGCCTGTAGGGAGTCCCGTACTGTAGCTACAGTCTCGGCAACCGCAACCACCATCCCGGTGCGCCATGACAGGACCTTTGGAAATGTTCGGAGTGAAGACAGAGGCGGCAGTGGATGGCACCTTATCTCAAACCCGCCATAATTTCCACAGGATTATCCAACCACTTACCCAAGATGATGCCGGCTATCACGGCGATAGCGAACCGTTTTTCCCTTCACGTCGCCGGAAGCGAAAAAGATGCGGGGACACCAGATTCCTGAGGACTTTTGAACAGAGGAGGAGCATCTCGTATGTACGATACCCGTACAGTACAGTAAATCGCGGTAACCCCAGCGGCCGAACCCGACCTGCTCTCCATCCGGCGGCTCCGGCCCCCTCCTCCACCCAGGATTTTTGGCACAGAGAGGGAGAACCGAGCCAAGACAAGCACTACCGCATAGCACCGCTATGCCAATACTCTGTAAACTCGCTCAGAGGGAAAACCATTCCTACAGTACCGTATTAGTACTCGAGTACTGGCACCGGTACTTGTAGAACGCCGTGCCGGTAGTGAATTATAGTCTATGCATCACGGGCGGAGTGGCCGCCATCCCCAGCCCCATGATAGGTTGGAAGCATTCCTTTAACCACAAGGCGAGGATTGGCACTCCCCCCCCCCCTTGAGATGATAATACCGGTATTATGGTGGAGGAACAGGCTCTACCAATTTATTTATTTCGGGCTGAGGATAGAGCAGATCAGTAGGGAGATCTAATTTACTCCAGCATACTAGAGACTTTGCGATTTCGCATCCAGAGTCAAATTCTAGCGATCTCATTGGCCCAGAACCCTGTTTGACCGACATCCAGAGTCTTTTCGCAAAGTCCCTACTCTATCTCTCGTTGCCCTGGAGTTCCGAGTGCGCCTAAAGTTACGGTGTGGGTGAGAGTAGTGTAGACTACGGTTCGAGCGGTACGATACCGGTTTTTATTCTGCACTTTGCGAGCTAAAAAAAGAAAATCCGCATTGGGTTGCTGCAGCACCGTAACTTACGCATAAAATCATGTCAACAATAGTTCTGTTAATCTTTCCACGAGTACAGGTACTGGGAAAGATGGCTGGGGATCTGGAATCCTTGCCCGGGATGTCTATCGATCGTGTTCACCATAGTCCGTGCTGCTCATATCATACAAGCACTTGTAGACAGGTGCCAAGGCCGAGTTTGGCAGGCACAAAGGGGACTGGTGTTGGCGAGGCAAGGGAATCACGGAACAGCACTCATTCAATCATGGTAAGGCGAGAAATTCATTGGTATCATACAGTATCATACTTGCGCCAGCACGCACCCGAGTGCCGAACCGTTGAGTGCCGGCAGGATGCTATTTAACGCACAAGGGCCATCCGGGAAGGCTGAGGGAAGAAGTACGGTAGGGAAGGGAGTCTCACGTCTGGAAGCCGTTCCCTCAACGGGCGATGATTCGGTCAGCGAGATTTCTGAGAAGATACGTGGGAGGCATTGGGCGGGACCATCCCAGAGTCAATCGAGCCGGTTACGCGGCACCCGTCATCGTGTGTCCCGGATCGAACAGGAGATAAGCCAGACAGCCAAACAGACGGCTGGACAGCAGGAAGGCCGGACGGGGAAGAGGGAGAAGAGGGAGGGGAGAAAAAAAAAGAGGGCCAACCATAACAAGAGAATACCGGCACCGTGCCAGACGATCACAGGGCGAGAGGAACGAAGAGAAAGGGAGAGAGAGCAGAGAACTGGCGCAAGGTGGGACCAGACAAGATAGTGGGACCACAGATAGTTGTAGAAACGCATGGAGCAAACCGCTCTCTGTATCTCTCACTCTGCTCTTGGCTCCTTGCTCCTTTCCCGATTCTTCCAATTCTTCACCCGTGCCTTATTCTGGTGCCCGCCCTCCTGTTTCCTCTCCCTCTCCCTCTCCCCTCCCTTCCAGCTTTCTTGTTGTTTGCGTCCCTTCCCCCCCCCACGGCGGTTTGATCATTCTTCCTCTCACCCCTTCGGTGCCTCTCGTTCTCCTCCTTCCTCCTCAAGTCGCTCGTTTTTTCTTTCTCTCCTCTATAACCCCCACTCCCAACCCCGGCATTGCACATTGGCTGTGATCTGTTCCCATTTGCCGAGCTGTTCTCCTGTCGTTTCACTACTCGAGTATTGAATTTTGTTCGCTCCCACACAACAAAGTAATAGTTCACATCGCTCCTCAACCCTCGCTATTGTTTGTTCTCTTTATCCAGAGAGCGGAAAAGACATTCATTTTCCGGATATTTGACACGACAGCTCCTCACTCACTCACTCGTTTGGCTCGGGGCACTGGGGGTTTCGGGAAGGGGTACAGGACACGATACTGGCATCTGGTGGCCCCGGGAGTCTAAATAATCTTCCGACTGCGAATTTGCCAGCCTCCTTAATCTTTGCTGACGGAACCCCCTTACCCCGCTCATTCCCAGAGCCCCTCAACACGATAGACGTCCTTCCTCCTGCGGGATCCTCACCCCTACCTGCTTGTGCTCCTTTCTCCAGCTCGCCAGTCGTGGGGCCGTCCGGTATCATACTCCCGCCCATCACCAACCATGCGACAATCACCAATGGTAACCCTACGCCGCTTATATACGTCACTGCTGTTACTAGCACCCCTAATTACTGCCTACGAGCTCGACCTTGACAGCAAAAGTACTTGCTCACACACCCCTGCATAGGGCCTTATCTCTGGCGCTGGGAATGCCTGCTGACCAAGCTGTTCCATAGAGTCAATTCTCGACATATCGCGAAGTATTGCCTACAAGATGATGACCTTCTACCCGGGGAATAAGACGGGAGGGATTCCGGGTCTTTTTGGTGATCCTTACTACTGGTGGGAAGCAGGTGCAGCTTTTGGTGTGGGTGATACCCAAAGTGCAATCAATTTGACCGGTTGCTGACTTTTGGGGGAAACTGCAGTCGTTGATAGATTACTGGTATTATACGGGTGATGAGGGATATGTCAATGTTACTACGGAGGCGATGCTGCACCAAGTTGGACCCGACCAGAACTATATGCCACCAAATCAGTCAAAGTCACTTGTATGGGTTCCCACCCGCGTTGCGACCCGCAATGCCCATTGACCTGTTGCGTTTTCTAGGGAAATGACGACCAAGGATTTTGGGCCTTGTCAGCCATGTCTGCAGCCGAGAAGAACTTTCCTAATCCCCCGAGTGATCAGCCCCAGTGGCTTGCGCTATCACAGGCTGTTTTCAACTCGCAAGCGGCACGTTGGGATACGCTAAAGTGTGGTGGGGGTTTACGTTGGCAAATTTTTACATTCAATGATGGCTATGTCTACAAGAATACGGTCTCGAACGGATGTTTCTTTCAACTTGGAGCTAGGCTGGCGAGGTACACGAGAAACAGCACATATGCGGAATGGGCCGAGAAGGCGTACGACTGGACGGAGTCCATCGGGCTCCTATCGAAGGACTATAAGCTGTTCGATGGATCCGATTCGAACTTGAATTGTTCGGAGTTGAACCATATCCAATGGTCCTACAATTCTGGGCTTTACATGGCAGGAGCGGCTTACATGTACAACTACGTAAGTTGTGGCAATTGAGAGTTATTTTTGGTGCACACGCTGACCCCTCTCGGAACTGCAGACCAACGGGCAGGAGCGTTGGCGCACTCGTCTGTCCGGTCTCTTGAATGCAACTGACGTGTTCTTCATCAACAACACAATGGCGGAGGTTGCCTGCGAGTCTAGCGACACCTGTGACGTTGACCAGCGATCCTTTAAAGCATATACATCCCGTTTTATGGCCCTGACCGTCCAGATGGCCCCTTGGACGGCCGACCTTATCATGCCAAAACTTCGGACGTCTGCTAAAGCGGCCGCGCGACACTGTTCATTTGGGGAAGATAAGAATACGTGCGGGATGATTTGGACGCAGGAGGGGTGGGACAATAAGTACGGGGTCGGGGAACAGATGTGTGCACTGGAAACAATTCAGAGTAATCTTATCAAGTCCGTGGCCCCTCCGGTAACAGCGGACAATGGAGGTACGAGTATGGGGAACCCAGGAGCAGGGACTGGAGGGGATAGGGCCGTTTCGGCTCCCCAGACATCACCAACCACACAAGGGGATAGAATCGGAGCCGGATTCCTAACGGCCTTCGTCATAATATTAATGGTTATGGGAGGATACTTCATGATTATCTAAAGGTTGGTGGATGGTTCCTGGCCACTTTTTATTCTTCCTTTTCTTGACATTCCTTTCTTTCCACTTCATGTTCATTAGTATAAAGTTGGTTGGGATGGGGTTCACCTGCTACTGGGATCCCGATCAGCTTGCGGTCACGGGGGTTTTCGATCTTACCTTCTTTTCCTTTGCTGGATTTTCCCGTTCTTGCCCCCCGCCCCCGTTTCTTGTGCTATCATCCTGCTTGCAAGAGATATCCCCACCCTGAACAAGATTATTCTTGTGTCTCTTTCCTTTTTTTTCTTTTTTTCTTTTTCCCTTTAGTAACTAATGAAGAGATGTACAAATGTGCAGTGGGCGTATTCCGTTTTCATATATTTTCCTCCTTGATCCTTTTCTCACTCTCAAAAACGGTTTTCTTTGTGGGGGGGATGTACAGTTTTTTCTACTTTTTTTATTATTTTTTATCCGTTGCTATTTTGGGTATTCAAGCAGGTAAAAGGAGGGTATATAGGGGCTCGACGATTGGATTTTCAGACAAGGCGTAATATTTGTTTAAGCAGGTTAGCGTATGTATATTTCAATACCATTAGTTGTGGTGCAATTTTGATGTCTGGTGTTGACAAGCGACCACGGTGAAAGAGGATATGCTACGAAAGTGCTAAAAAGGCAGTGACTTGTGTGTCGTAAATTATATTGCCGGTCAAACGAGAGGTGTTGGAGATGTCGAAGTCGTCAGAAAAACAAGCTTCGCTGGGCTAAGGAGCCAAGACTGGTGTCACAAGGGTGGTACAAGTGTAGCGGATGATCGGTGTCGTGCATTGTGCTTCTGGCTTGTTATGGATTGGGGTAATTTATGATAAAACTGCCGATCTCACCATATGATGGAAGGGATTACCGTGCTCGGGTGGATGTTGAAGTGCAACGGTGTTATTCCCTCCCTTTCCAATGGAGAGCCCATTTCGGCTCTCTGTTGGGTTATGGTACTGTATCATAATATCATATCATCATATCATACCAAAAGGGAAGTGACTTTAAGACTTGCCCTTAGCATGATAGGGCGATATTTACCGGTATTACCTGCCCGACAACTGGTGGGAAGCTGAACCAGAGGAGCTGATACATTAACTCACTACCGGTATATTATCCATTCGGCCACCTACCGTACGGTAACGGTACATTTTGGGTAAGGGCGTCGAGGCTGATAACTATTTTTTTTGTCTTGGGGACTTTTCGATGACAAAAAAAAAGTTGCTCAAACCGCGGGTGCCGAATACCCCCTACCGGATGCTGGCAATATCGTGCCGATTCGGGGGTCAGGATAATGCCAATCCTTATTCATTAAGAGTGGCAGGGTTCTATAAACTTGGGCCAAGCCCAGCACTGTGCTCGTACATACAGTACGCGTACTGTATCTCTCTCTCGCCGTTCTGACCTATCAAGACTACGGAAGCCCACCGTTCATGTTGCCGTACGGGTAACTTGGCACTTTTGGGGGCACAAGTACAGTACCGGTACCGTTTGAACTGTATAAGGGGAACTTTTTTTTAAAAAGAAAAGTACAGCACGGTTCAGGGTGGGCTTTCTCCCGTTAAGTAATACAATAGCGTACTGGTATAAGTACGGTATCGGCCCAAAAATGGGTCTGTGTTCTCGGGAGTCTCAGAAACCTTGGCTACGGTACCGTACGAGTAGTGGTACAAGTATGCTGTGAAGGAGAAGAAATCCGTCCAGCCTTCCCCTTCCGGGCTTGTCGGTGCCTCGTCTGTGAATGGTGGCGTGTCTTGGCCAACTCGGAATTTTCCTCTCAGCGCAGCGACCGAATCGGGGCTCCCGAGAGGTTCTGCCCTCCCCCCGCCGGGGTATGATACGGTATGCCGGTGCTGGATTGCGATTGCCCTGTGAGCCGTATCGGTGTTTCTTGTCTCGGGCCAGAGGCATCGTGCCTCGCAAGTCCTAGAAAACGGGGATTGAGGAAATGCTGTATACGGCGAAAGTCTGTGTGTCGTTTGAGTTGCCTCCTCTGGTAGGGGCTGGTATTTATTTAATATATTTTGCAGGGACTGGACGGCTCGGCCCTGCTGTATTTTTCACCCCTTTTCCAGGGAAGGAAATTTTGGACTACTGTGCGAGTACTGTGCGAGTACTTGTGCCTAGCACATGGTCCAATTGTTTGAGATTCTATAGTCCTGGTATGAGGCGTCCGCAATGGTGGAAGGTCTCCTTCTCGCTCACCTCCCTTCTTCTTCCCTGCCCTCATTTTCGTGAGTTTTTGCTGCGGGTCGTGGGTTTCGCTCTTTCCCTCCCCTTTTGTTTGGATGCGGGTTTCCATATTTGGTACTGCTCCAGCCGTTCTTTTATCAAGCAAATATACGTTCTTTTGAGAAACAATTTTCACTCCTTTTTTTACACAAAGATCTATCCCTTTTGGTATCTCTGGCGTTTTATGATTCCAGATCATCCCGATCCTGAGTAATCATGGCTCCTTCCGTCTGGAATATCTCATTTTTGATCCTCCAGGGTTTCCTTGTGAGGAGCACTCTTGCAGCAAGAGCCATACATGTCGAATTCAGCAAACCGCTGGCAGATAACTCAACAGATGACTTCCTCTTCCCGCTGGTTATTGGGGAAAACGATGCCAAACAAACCGTGTACCTCGCCCCGTCTACCAACAATGCACGTACATTTGCTATATCGCTAAAGGCGTGTACACCCCCCGGCAACAGCACTGTGTGGCTCGGATGCTTGAAGTACCGAGGTGGCGGCTTTGACCCAGCAAAGTCGTCATTCAAGCCCGGCTCTGGTGACTCGACGAAGCTGAACTGGCGGAGTGATCAATACTCGCTTTTCGCTGATGGGGTTTACGGCCAGGACAGCATGACCCTTCCTGACAAGGCTGGTGACGTTCAATTGAAGGACTTCGAAATTGGATTGGTGGATGCGTGTAACATGACGTCGGGATTCCTCGGGTTGGGTCCCAACTCGACGCTGTTGGAGCGGTTGTATAAGGATGGAGAGATTGAGTCTAGGTCTTATGGTCTGCATGTTGGCATTGACATCACGGATCATCCGTATCCGGTTTTTGATCCTACTTTTGATACCGGCGAGAAGCCGAAGGGAGAGTCGGATTACGATTCTGGCATTGGGAAGCGGTCGAAGATGATGAAGCGGGCCGAGGAAGAGAAGCCAAAGGAGGTACACTCATTTGCTGGGGGGCTGACGCTAGGGGGATACGATAAGTCGAGGATTGATAATAGGACAGCCTCGTTGACGGTGCCAGTGTCACCGGATGGGCTGCTAGAGTTGGAGTTGACGGAGTTGGTTGTGGTTAATTCGTGGCTGGTGAACGATAGCCCAATGCACGACGTACTCAATGAGACTAGGAAGGTTATCATTGACTCTAGCACTCCTCACATGTGAGCGCTATAGTTTACTCCTTTCTGGGTAATGTGGCGGCTGACACTGATTAGGTATCTGCCGGATAAGACTGCAGATGCGTTGAGTTACTCTATGGAAGCTTATTATGGTGATCCAATGGTGGACTTTTTTTATGGGTCGGATCCCGACAAGTATCTTGGCAATGTCACGTTTACATTACAAGCCCCTGGCGGTTCCAAGAGCATCAAGATTGTTGTCCCACCATCAGTATTCCAACAACCTATTGGGATGCTTAGAGACTACCAACCGGTGGGGGGTGGATCTTATGACTACTATATGCCAGTAAAACACTTCAAAGCATCTTCCAAACAGCCAATTATCCTCGGCAGAAGGTAATTTACTGGGTAGATCTCTGTGCGCGGGGTGTGGCTAACAATGGTCAGTTTCCTGAAGGCAGCGTACATCTTTGTCAACCACGAACGAAAAAACTTCCATATCTCGCAAGTGGCCTACACCAATGCCCCCCATGAGATAATCTCAGTCTCAGCATCAGACTCGGGGGACTATGGTTCAGGCACTTCTTCCACCTCATCCGGCCCCGGCTCAGGCCAAAACCCTGGCACAGGCCCGGAAGCCCGAGGGCCCCCGATCGCCATAATAGCAGGTGCCTCCGCTGGTGGTGCCTTCCTTATCGCACTAATCGCATTTCTGGTCTGGCGTCATCGCAACAAGCCTAAGAAAACGCACCTCCATACGATCCCATCGAACCCTTCCTTCCACGAAAATGAACTAGAAGGCAGCCACGCTTTAGTCCAACTCCCCGTACGCTCCATCGAGAAACCACCTGTCGCGGCTTCCTCACCATACCCAAATGATACCAAAACGGGATGGAGCACACAACCACAGCAGGGGTATCACGAGATGGAGAGTAATGTTGGTACTGCGGTGAGTTTATATCCTGAGGATGGGTATCCGCAGCAGAGCGCGCCTGGATATGCAGAGTTGGCGACCCCACCACCGGCACAACAGCAGCAACAGTGGTATCAGGATGGGACTGTGCACGCAAGGTATGAGATGATGTAGGATGTTTCCTACTAGCGTTATTATCCACCTCTAGTGGAGGAGGGAGGGGATTGTGAGTGTATTGGTTGGCTAGATATCATGGTTTATGCGTGCATGCAGATTGTGGCGTCCTGATAACGGTGATTTGCTTGGGTTTTTCTTGTTTGGGGGTAGCGGGGGGATTGGATAAATAAATAATCTTGGAAAGGGCTGAGTCTTTTGCGTCTTAGGAAGGCGTGAGTGAGAAGCAGGAAGGTATGAGTCGAGTGGCGATTTGCGATTTGGTGAAATACTGCCCGTTGACATTAATACCTTTTGTTGTGTGGTATGATGCCACATTTTATGCCCAGTCCGGAGGCATCAGACGCTTTCAAGTTTACTACAAATCCCTCCTCCTGCTTTGTCCTCACCACATACTTTGCCCTTTCTTCCCTTTTATACCCCCTTGCTCATACCGCCCCAACCCTCCAGAGGGGCAGCTCCCTCTCTCCCTGGGGCGTCTGTCTAATGGCTCAATTGTATCCCGCGTATAGCGTGCAAACGCACTACGTAGGAATCATACTGAATACTCCTTTCCCCTATCTTTCGAATCTCTAGAGGGAGAAAAGAGGTGAATGGTGGGGCCAGGAAATATCTTGAGAACTAGCTCGTTGCCTTTACTTTGATTCGACATATAGTGAGTGCTCTGGGTGCGGCTGAATGCAGCGGCAGAAGTTCAGGTGTTCGCGGTTGAGTGGCCATGTGTAGGGTTAGGGGCGAGTATGTGCTATTATATACACCCGACAACCCAGGTTCCGTAACGTTATACCCGTGCCACGGTTGCAGC